TGCCCTGTTCCGTTTCCTGCCCTCTCCCGATCGGCGTCTGCTTTGCTTGTATTGACATGAGGAAGCGTTGCCAGATTGCCAGTGCAGCCGCTGCCACCTGGCTCCCTGATACTGGTGTGCTTCGGAAAAGGTCAGCCTGCTTAACTCGGCTCTGCTCCGCGGTGCTCAAGATGGGCGTGTGAGCACCTTGGCCTAATTAGCTGAATTGTTGCGTTAAAACAGGAATGAGGACGAAATCCCGTTGCATAGACAAACAAAACTTAAACTCGGAGACAGGAAGCGGGCTCTTGGTGACCCGTGGGAAATTGTCTAAAAAAGGATGGGAGCACTTTAAAGATTTTCCAATCGCTCGTTGAAGCCTCTTGTTTGTTTTTACTGACACATCAATGCACCGATGCATGTCTGCGGATCATTTTTTAAATTTTAAAATAGTTACATTACCTTAACAATGCACAGGTTAGAATATGTGACCTGACCGATATTATTTCTGAAAACCGCTCCTCTGAAACTATCGGCGGGCGCGATACAGGGTGGACTCGGATCATCAGACCTTTGCGCCTAATATTTGCAGTACATCACAGAGACAGCTGCACAGTTTCAGGCCAGGCGGACTGAGACTAAGCCGTCATTATCCCGTTTGCACAGATGGTCGTTTTCTGTGTCACAGGATGCTTCAGCCTCTCGGTTGGCAGGGTGGGTGTTTACCCGGGGGGGCGCCGCAGCGCAGAGCTGAGCGGGGGGCCGAGACCGCGAGCAAATCTCCGAGCCACGGCGCGGAGGAATGCGCTTGCGTTCCTGCCGAAAAAACCCAGGGTACGCGGGACCACCCAACACGAGTCACCTTCAAAAATACAAAATAGCCTCGTCAAAAACAGGAAATGTTTTCCTCCCCTAAAGAGGCTTTTTAGTCACCTAAAGGAGCTTCTATGGCCTAAATCTTGTGTTTCTTCTCTTTTTTAACATGGAATTTAATCTGCTCGTTCCTTTGCAGATGGCGTGTGTTGACACAGCTCCCCACACAATGTTGTAACATGCTTGCTCATATTGGAATGGTGTCATTTAGGACACAGTGTGTCCCCCCCCTCCTACACAGAAACTCCCAGCAGTAAAACAGTGCTTACAGGGCAACTGCAGTCCCAATCGCTCAGACCTCTCGGTAAATCCCGGGAATCAAAAACATTAATTGACGGGATCGCAAAATTTGACAAATTCTGAATTAAGCGCAAAATCATAAGCTTTGTGAAAGTCCTGTAAGCCGCCATATTGTCACAAACCCCTGATTTCACCTGGGGCGAGAGTGAGAGTTCCCACGAACTGTGATGTGAAGCGGCCCTTCCTGCTCACTAGTCCCTGTACTATCGTATTGAGGTTTAGAGTAAGCCCAGGTCGTGCAGCAGACATTTCACCGCAGACATGTTCTAACATGATCTGCAGGCAAAGTTAACAAGTAAGTAGTATTTATCAGCAAAACCATCCTGGAGACAAGAGCAATATTTCAATTGGATTAAAAGCGACGTGTTCACCAGCCTGCTTGTTTACAGTGTCACTGGGCCGCTTCACCTCACTGGAAAGCTGGTTGCCTTGTTCTGAATCGCAGAACATGGCGCTGCGCAGACCTGGAACTTTTGTCTATTTTGTGTCGTAAATTGGAGGTTTTACAGGTTACTGTGTTTCATTGTGGTTTGAATTGCAGTTGTCACTGCCGATTTTTCTGACCCCAAATATAGAAATAGCACTGCTGTTCCCCTTTAGATAGGTACCATCTAAACAAATGGATGGATGGTATTCAGACAGGTCCGTGTGTCCCATCCCCTCCACTGTGACTTTACCCTCCTGCAGTCTGGGAGACACCTCTGTGCCCCCATGCGTACCATAAAAGACTCAGGAAATCTTTCCTCCCCTCTGCAATCTCGCTCTCAAACAATGTAAAATAACTCTCTTGTCTCCCTTGTGCCGTATTCTTTGCTGGTGATCTTTGTCTATCTGTTTTGTGCTGTTGTGTTGCACTCGTAAACGACATCTCCCCCAAAGCTCTGACTCCAGAAATGAACCCGTCTTGACGTGCAGCGTGTGGTGCTCCGCAGGTCTCGGAGGCGTGCGACTTCGTCCTGGTGAACGGCAGGGAGATGAGGGGCCAACAGGGCGTGCGGGTCAACTTCACCTACCTGTACCTGGGCACGCAGCTGGAGCTGACGGTCTGGGTGCCCCGCCTGCCCCTGCAGATCGAGGTGTCCGACGCCGAGCTCAGTCAGGTCAAGGGCTGGAGAGTCCCCATCGTCGCCAACAAACGGTACGACAAGCCCCGCAGGGCGGCGGTGTTCCAGAACACGTCTCCCTCTGTCTGCCTGGCACAGTCTTTAAGCGACGATACACAGCAAATGTTGGAATCATTTTGAAGTGATATTTCAAAATGTATCCACATAAATGAGAGTGTAATTTACCAGTGATAAAGTTCTGAACCTTTTAATATATATAATAGATCTATACAATAAATAACACTTAGAGTATTTTCTTTCTTCAAAGGC